TTCCAATCCTCACTGGTAATCTGAATCTTGGCCTTCACTAGATTCCTCATGGCCACATCAGTGTTGGGTGAAAACATGATGGCCGATTTTTCATGGTTGATGCATTGACCCGAACAATTCTCATACAGCTGTAAGATCTCATGGAGGGCAGCGGCCTCTTCCTGCTTTGCCTTCAGAAAGATCACCGAGTCATCGACAAACAGAAGATGTGAGACATTGGGTGCGTTCTGGCAGATTTTGACGCCACTAATTCTTCCCTGCTCCTCGGATACATGCAACAACGCGGACAATCCTTCGGCACAAATAACAAAAAGGTAAGGGGAGAGAGGATCCCCCTGCCTCAACCCTCGGGTTGGCACAAAAGATTCTGTACACTCCATTCACTTTGATTTGGTATCTGACCGTTGTGACACATTTCATGATAAGTTCTACCCATCGCCTGCAAAAGCCTAGTTTGCACAACATCGCCTCAAGGAATCTCCACTCGACACGATCGTATGCCTTGCTCATGTCCGCTTTGATCGCGGCCACCCCTTCCTTCCCATTTTTCTTGTGCCTAAGAAAATGAGAAGCTTCATATGCTATTAACACGTTGTCTGTAATCAACCTCCCGGGAACGAACGCACTCTGGTTCTCTGAAATGATTTCTGGGAGCACCACCTTGAGCCTATTTGCCAACACTTTGGAAACCAACTTGTACAAAATGTTGCACAAGCTTATCGGGCGAAGATCTTTAATTCTGTTTGGGTCTTTTACCTTGGGTATTAGAACCACCACTGTATCATTCCATCCTTCCGGAATTGCCCCACCGTTCAATACCGCAAGAACTTCCTCCACTATATAATCACCCATGAAGTGCCAGTGCTTCTTGAATACTATCGATGGCATGCCATCCGGACCCGGGGCTTTCAGATCCCCAATATGATCTAGGGCCGCTTTCACCTCCTCCCGCGTAAATTCTGCATCGAGTACATGGAGCATAGCAGCAGTCACTCGGGGTTGCACTTTGGCAATAAGTTCATCAACACGGGTGCCGGCTATAGAAGTAAATAATTCCTGAAAATATGCACAAACATAGTTAGTTAAATCCTTCTCCTCTACTACCGACCCGTCCTCCCTTCTTAGCTCCTTAATCTTGTTTGCTTTCTTGCGCACCGAAGCCATGAGATGGAAGAAACGTGTGTTTCTATCTCCCTCCAGTAACCACCACACATGCGCTCTTTGCTTCCACGTTGTATTCTTCTTGTCCTCTAAATCATCAACCAAGCATCTTAGCCTTGCCTCCTCCTCAATCTTCTCTTGTGACACTGCTTCTTTCATACACCGCTCCAAGTCTGTTTTCGCTCTTCTCAACCTCCCTTCCACTGCTCCAACTACTTCCTTATCCCACACCTTCATCTTCCCCGCTATCTCCTTCAGTGCATGAGCTACTCCACCATTTCTCTCCTCCCAGCTTCTCTCCCAAGCTTCCCGGATCACCTCTTCACATCCTTCCTCTTGTAGCCATCTCGCCTCAAAACGAAACCCTCTGTCACCTCCCTTCCAACTCATATCAAGTCCCGTTGTGCTGACAATAATGGCCCGATGATCCGAATCGCGAGGCGCCCCATTTACCACTGCATACTCCGGAAACTTTGTACTCCACGCTGTGTTAGCAGTGGCTCTATCCAATCTCTCACAGATATACGTGCTCAACTCCTTGCTATGGTTCCGCCACGTGAAAATATCTCCTTCAAAACCCAAGTCCACCAGCTCGCAAACCTCCAGCGCCTCCCTAAATCCTTCCATCATGCCCTGTGATCGTTCAACGCCCCCCACCTTCTCAATCCCTGAAAGAATTTCGTTAAAATCACCCAAGCACAACCATGGTCGACCATATTGATGCTGTTGCTTGAGTAGTTTGAGTGTTCTCCACGTCTCCTTCTTCCTCTCTGTTGCCGACTCCCCATAAATCCCAGTCATGCGCCAAACCGAGCCATCTTCCTCCGTGATATCAACATCTATATGCCTCCACCCATAAGACCATAACGACACATCCATCCCTCTCTTCCAAAACAAAGCCACACCACGGCTTCTGCCCACCGGATTCCAAGCTGTCATGTTCGTCAGACCGAGTGTCCACCGAAACTTGTCTAACTCCTTCTCTGTAAGACGAGTCTCCGCCAAAAAGAGCACATCGGGATCCTCCACTCTCCCCAATTCGAGGAGCGATTCGGTATGTGAACATTTTACCCATACTACTATTACTATATAGTGTACCAATAATATGACATAGGAGCCGTTCAATCGGATGGCTGTAGTTAAATGGTTCTAATCGGGGGAAACATGGCTGCACAAGTGCCGCTAGATCTGACAATCCTACGGCCAGTAGCCCAGGGATTCGCCATGGGACATCATTCTCCTCTCATCAGCCATGTGATGTTACGTTTTATTCAGAACTTCCACGTGAGGACCTTTATGTTGTGAGTTGGCCATGTAGCATACGCCAGTACATTCTAGAAGTGCCTACAGAAGTGTTGATGCAGAGGCTACCTAACAGCCAATAGTACCACAATACTAGCTGTATATTATTTTTTAACACAGTACTAGCAGTTTATTGTTGAACGCATGGAAACATTTTTTTTCTCTCGAAAGAAGTAGTACACCATAGAAAATAGTAGCACATGGCAGTATTGCTGTTTTTTCAAAGGAATATCAACCAGTTGGGAGAAAATTTAGATGTAGTTTTTTTACATGATGTTAGTTTACTCTCTTTTTTACCATGAGGTCGAGAATAGATGAATGAAATAAAAATTATGAGAATACTCTGACTTAAAGGTGTGAAAAGGTGAATAAATCGAACTGATTTTTCCCTTTTTTAAAACAACTCCCTCATTCTCATAATATAAGATGTTATTACAAGCAATATTTGTGCTACTGTGATTTCAAGTGAAGAGCAAAAAAAAAGTTTCCACTAGAAAGCGAAAATATCCTTCTCAAAATTAGATGATAATTTTCCCACAAAAAAAGATGATAATTTTATCAAACATAGGTGCTTTAATTTTAATTTAACGACTTAGTATTGTGATTATACATACTAATGTCACATGCAAAGCACGTACAAATTACTAGTTGTTAAAGCAGGGCATCTATCTCATTACGATACATGAACGTTTTCTCCAAACAAAAATATATTTTTTAAATGTATGAAAGTTTTTTTAAGTGCATGGAAATTTTTATTTCGACATACATGAACATATTTTCTACAACATATGGATATTTTTTCATCTACTAGGGCATTTAAAAAGATCCATGGATATTTTATGCATAGGTGAACATTTTTGGTACACACTTTTTTCTGAAAATACATGATTGATTTTTTAATTTAAGTCACATTATTTGTTCCTACATTTTAATACATATTACATACATAAGTGAAAATAAATACTATTTGAAGACTTAAAAAATAGAAATAAATACCTATAGTGGGCTGAACCAAGGCCGGTCCATCCATGTAGGATGGATCCCACGTAAAAGAAAATTGGCTCTAGCTGGGCTAACAAGGCCTACGTTACAGTTTTTAAGGCCACGATACAAAACAATGTCAAACACGAGACGAGAGAGGCGAAGAAAAATAAAACGAAAGAGGCGAAAACCTGATTCGCTACCGACCTGACCTCGCCGCCGTTCTCCGATTCTCCGCTCGCCTGCTCTGCTCCGCCGCCTCTCTGGTACGCCCTCGGCTCGATCTCAAAATGTCTCTCAAGCTTCCCTGCGTACCCTCCGCCGGACTTGGAACTGCCTCCGCAAGTCCGACGAAGGGAGATTCTAGGTCTCTGCGGGGACTTGGATTAGGATATGTTCTTTTCTATTTTCGGGAAGGGATTGGGTCTAATGACTGAGCGAGTTCTTTGAGTCAGAGGTAGAGCATCAGATTCGCAAGGGGAGTAACCGCCAGCATGCCGTCTTAGGATCGTTTTGCCTCTCCTTTCTGGCGATTTTGGAGTGGGGAAGGGGAATTTATGTGGCTGGTTTTGATACCGGAAGTTTGGATTTGCAAGTCAAGGGGGTGATTGAAGTAGAATAGTGGACGGCAGCAATAACATCTCCACTGGAGTTCTAGAGGATCAGGTTCAGTAGCTGAACATGTGCATAACCGGAATGAGCTTTTGTTTTTACTGAGTTTCAAGAACCAAGATGTGTGTATTCTTACCTTTTGTTTTAGGCATTACCTTACCGCATTGTGGTATCAATGCGTTTCAGTGCCTTAAGCTTACTGCTTAGCAGATATAGGAATCTGCTCTGTTCCTTCGGATTCTGCTTCTAGGGCACGGGTGCATACGAGAAAGACAGAGATCGGTAGGCCTTTCGTTGCTTGGCTGTCGACGGTATAGTATATGCTTGTGAGGAAGAATGCTGCTTTATGTGTTCTATTCATGCCTGTTTCCTGTTTTATTTATGGTCCATGTGTTTCGTCAGATGATTGCTCCATTTGTTCTGACATAGGCAGGCAAACGGACTATTTGCCTTTGAACTGGCTGGGTTAATGTTATACAACCTATGTGCGAATATTACTTAGTAGTATTCCCGAAAAAAAAAACAATATTACTTAGTAGTAATGAGATGCATAGGTTAATTATTCAGTTGCTGGTTCTTGCAGTATATGTTCCGCACCTAGTTTATTTAAATTATATGAAGTTTAGAAATCGTCACAAAAACACTGATATTCTCATAGACAGAACAACGTCAGCTTTCAGATTCCTTCTATCAAGATGGGTCTTTAATGTCGGGGAATCAGGACTTGGCAGCTATGTATGACCTATGAACAAACATTGAAAAGTTTCTGCTGTTGCCATCATGCCATGTTCACAATGTACTTATTATAGCTCATAGCATTCTTTGTGGCGAAACGAATAAAATGCAAATGAAGGCCAAAAGCTACGGCAGAAGTGATTTTCAGTTTCTGTTGGGGGGCTTTTACAGGAAAAAAACACACAGGTGGCACTGAATAATAGACAAGGATGGCTTCTACTGGCGTGAAAGATTTCTACCGGCAGAAGAAGAAAGGAGGTGTTGGCAAAACTTCAGCATCTTCTAAGAAGAAAACACAGAATTACACTGGAGGGGCCTCTGTTGGGGCCTCAAATAAGGCCCAGACAGCAGCACTAATTTCTCACGGATCCTTAGACCTCAGAGGTACCCGCCGGAGAGATTGTTATGTGCACAGTTTAAACTTGCCTGCGCTTTTCGTTTACAAACCATGACTTTTTGTTTATGCCGCTGGTGCTGCAGATGATTTTAGTGAGCAAGAGGAGCAGCTGCGGCAGTTTGACATGGACATGAAGTTTGGCCCGTGCATCGGTGTCAACCGGCTTCAGCGCTGGGAGCGTGCTTCCGCCATGGGCCTCCAGCCACCGCCCCACCTTCGTGATCTCCTAGCGCGCGCCTCCTCCGGAAACAACCGCAACAACGGCGGCCCCTCCCCTGAATGCCTCTGGGAGGGTAAGATCTAGAATCAAATTTCTTCCGCCGCAAGTGCTCCTTGGCAACCTAGCATGGTTTGCCTACTGTAGTCTGAAACTCTGAGGCCGTTTTACCACGCGGAACTCCTGCTGTTGTACCGTATCCTTGGTTGTTTGCTTATCAGATGTTGCTACCTCAACTCCTGCCAGTGTCATCTTCAGTTTGCCCCGCGCAAGTTGCTTAATTGTGTCATTTTTTCTTCAAAATTATGCCATTCTCAAGAGGATTTAATGAACAGGTCCGTTTCTGTCTGATTCTTGTCCAGTAAGTACGGTTTTTTTTTGTCTTGCTCGTTTGTCGGGCGAACCAAACAACCGATTCATGGGCCATGACGGTGAAGTGCATATACAGAATCTAAAACCATGACCGTGCAGAGGAACTCTGCCACTGTAGCGTGGCTTTGTACATAGGGTAGAGCTGAGCAGCACAGCTTGTGCCTTGGTACATTTCATTGGTACAACGCCGAATGATACGGGTGCCTCCGTGTCCGATGGGATGAGACGCCATGCCAGGTACATTGCATAAGTACAATGGCGAATGATACGGGTGTCTCCGTGTTCGATGGAGTGAGACGCCGTGCGAGGTACATACACTAGAATGTTTGACTCAGAGGCACTGCTTTGTCTTGGAGCGCTGGGCTAGAGCATGTGTTCCTCGACACTTGTCGTCAGCTACAGCGTCCAAGCCACTCCGGTGACTCGGCCTCTGTTTTTGTTCGTGTTCCTTGTGAAGAAACGATGTGAGTTTTGTATACAAGTCTTTCCCAATTTCTCCGTTACGAGTACTTGTCACCAAGGTCCCATCGATCTTCCGTATCTGCTTCTCTTGATCTTCCGTTGGCAAATTTTTTAAAAGAAGGTTGAAACTCTAAAGATGCACACATCCATCTTTATTTAACAAAATCAGATAAACAAATGCATGGATCAATCTAAATCCACCTTCGTGATGACATATGTTGCTACACCTACAAATTTGATGATGTGCCGTCATCTCACACCAACACACACCATCTAATCCAGTAGCCTCGCTAAGCGTCCCACGGTGAGCCGAGAGCATCAACCGGTCTAACAGACCCTCAGCACGCACTGCATGCGCACGCTCTAGAATCTGTCGACGCCATCTTTCGCCGCTCCATCTTCAGGAGAGATCAACACATTGACCTTGCCAAGCCCAACTGCCGTCGATGCCACCACGATACCAAACAACACCACCACCCCACGCTCGTCCATCAAGACGCATTCGTAGTCAAGACTCTGTTGCACTCTTGACCCGCCGTCATCGACGTGGTAGATGCCACACCGCTCCACCTCCTGTCGACTCTATCAAGTATCTGGTTCAAAACGATGTCCTCGAGAGGGATAACGACACCGCAACCTGTTATAGCTACATCACAGTAAGTACTTTAACGTACACCTGAGCTTAATTAGCTCACTGGGCTACCTATATTGGAGCGATCGACGCATATACAAGTTAGTCTTTGCATAATGCACGTGGAAACAATCTCAAGGAGGATCGAGGTTATCCAACATCTTGCTTGTTTAAGGATGGGCGATTAGCGCAGCTAATTCCCGAAATGGAAAAAAAGGTTATCAAGCTTCCTCCAGAAGACCAACGCATTGTAGTGTCCTTTGCCGTTCGCTACGAGCCAACAAGTACTTATCCTTTTTTGCGTACGTACACATCAGCACCACACATTTCAGTTTACACAAACAATGGTATCTTGCCTTCCGCTAGTTTAGGATTTTTTTTTTCAGGATTGCCAAATCTCAGTCGATGCTATATTCATATGATCTTATGTGGAGATCCGTGCAAAAAATTCATTTTAGTTTTTCTTTCTCCTTTTTATATGTTCCATCACTTGATTAAGACTTAGTTAAATCTCAGTCGACTGAGATCTAGCCACATCCTAAAAAAAATTTGGCCCTTCATTTTTGGCACCCGATGTGTTTTTCCAACTTGAGCATAAATCCCCCGGCCTTTGTACTTACATATCGAGTGTCATACCACGTGAGACATACTGAAACAAACGATCTTATATTTGTTTAGAGGGGGAGTATTTGAATACATGTCGAGCGTCATTCACCGCAAAATTTAGGCAAAAGTTGGACGCATGCAGGTTGGCCTTCCCATGAACAAATCTAGGGGCCTTGTGCATCCTGCCTGCCGATGGGAAGGGACAGAGCCAGCCGGCAATTCGTACGTTGTTGGTCCACGAGCTGGGTAGTCTGCGGCGTGGCGCGTGGGCCTCCTCCTACGTACTCCTCCGGTCCCTGCGAGCTCCGGCTAGCTGCCGACTGCATGCCATGCCATGCCATCGCCTGCAACTGCCAACTGCTGCATGCGTGATGCGTCGTCCGGCCGTTTCCCGCACGTGACGTGAGTAAATCCGTGGCCGTACGTGCACGGGCCATGAGGCCATTGTTGCAGCTAGCTGGCCCATCGGAGAAAGGTCAGGGAGAGATCGCTGGTGCATGCAGCCATTGCAGCCATATGCATATGACTGCCTGCTGCGAGTCCATTTTCCTGTTTGTCGGACGTGGCAAAATGGCCAGTCTCTCCCTCGATCGGACGTTCACGTGCCGGTACGTGCATTTTCTTCTTATTTATCCCTAGAACTAGAAAGTCTAAGCAAAGTACATCGAAATTTATCACCAAGCAAAGTTGTTAGCATGCTGCTAATAGATGTATTTGGAACAGAGAGAGAGAGAGAGAGCTGACCTTTCCACCTTGCATAGAGGCTAGGGGTGCGGTATGGCCCTGTACGGTGCATACATGCATGCTCCCTGCACCGGCCAAACACGTGAAGCACACACGTCACATGCCAAAATGTATATACCGAAAATAAGAAACCGTGGTCATTTTGGATACGTGCACATGCCCGGTAAACATCATGTAGTACGTGCGTACATATACGCAAACGATGGTTCCAAAACATGTCCTCAGCAGCAAAAGGAAACACTCTTATGTGCGTACGATTCACTCGCTTCGCACGTGCCATGTATAATGCCTCTGCAATATTGTCCAGCACGCCGTTATTTATATGAAAACTGCATGTGTAAACATGAAGGGATTAACATAACGGGGATGTAGTCTTGTTCAGTTAGGGCAACTCTAGTCGAACTCTCAAAAAGGTTGACATTCTCTTTTGAGTTAAGACCTGCCGAACCGTCAAAAAGTTTAGTTGCTCAAAAGATTGAGGAGAACGGTCCGCAAGCCCTTACTTTTGAGCGACCGAAACAAGTTCTCAAAAAAAAAAAAAAAACACTCCTCTGCCTGACTTCTCTTTCCCCAGCTCAGCCACCTCCATGCAGGGTCGATGGCGTTGCCTTCGGCGCATCTCCTCTTGAGATTTCCTCATGCTCTAGGCGCTCGCATCTCGCCTCTTCGTCGACTGTCGACAGATCCTCATCGGCGGCTCGGTCGGGCTCAGCCGTCGCCCAACAACTCATCGGGCCGCCTCCGTCGCTCATAAAACGCGACGACTGCAAGCGGCCGGTGCTGCTCCGGGTCTCCATGACCGAGAAACATCCTGGATGTGTCTTCTACTAGTGTAAAAGGGACAAAGTAAGTGCAATATTTGTCCGAGTGTTCTTCGTTTTAAGCAATGTGAGCTCAATGTTGGTTTAATATTGTGCAAAAAGGTTGCAATTTTTGGTACTAGGAAGAAAAATACATTGATCTATTGATCCAGAAAGGTCTATTGGATGTTGGTGCACTAGTTACTAGAGATGAGATTAAAGAGGATGCGATGGCCAAATTTCTTCATGAAGAGGCAAAGAAGAAACAAATGTGTAGGTAGAGTGGATTTTTGGAGCTCGAGCTTGAGCTCCATGGAGCATGTTATTTAAAAGTTTTGAAAATCATATTTTTTGAAGTTTCAAAAAATCTTGAAAATATACACATGAACATAGAGATGTATACTACATGCCTGTAAAATTTCATGATTAATACGTTGCGGTGTGGGCTGGACAAAATTACAAACTTTTATAGTGAATAGTGCATGCGCTAGAAATACGTGATTTTTTTTAGCTTTAATCAAAACGTATTTCATTATGAAAATTTACAGAGATAGAGTATACATCCCTAGGTTCATGTGCATTTTTTAAGATTTTTCTAAAACTTACAAATAAGATTTCTTATTTTTTTTTCTTCAAAAAAAATGAGCTCCATGTAGCTCGAGCTCTAACTTGCATTTCTGACAGAGAAGGGGAAAAGTGTTGGCAATGAACATATGGAGATGGAGAAAGTGCTGATTGCACTCGTGGTAGCAATTAAGGAAGTTGTGTTTCTGTTGAAGTGTGTAGTTGTTCTTGACATCTTGTTTGGTGTTCTCCTCGTGAGGAACTAGTGAACTATGTGCCAAAAATGTCGTTTTGTAAAGTAGTTTACATTGATCTCAAGGAGAGTGAATCTAACTCGTTTGCCTAGATAAATGAATTCGTGTTAAAATATTGGGGAGTTAAGTTTTAGGAGTTCGGCTAGGAATGACTTTTATTTAACTCCTCAAAATTGTGTTATTAAGATTTGAGGGCGCGTTTGAAGGGCTAAATTTTAGAGGTTAAGCTAGACATGTCTTTAGACCCCCATTTCTTCTCTTCCGGACATGCCCCTTCTATCCTTTTTTATCGATCCTTTCAATGACACCCGCTCATCGTACATGCTACCATGCATCTATTGAAATCACTTATCAACCATCCCTCTAGATGCCTAAGGTGTGTAAAATGGTGTTATCTTAGAGTGCCATGTAGGATGAATATTGAGGCGGGCAAGTAAGAGAAACTAGAAAAATGCTTCCCTTCTCTTATTTAATAGATTATCTCCTACCAACGATATTTCTTATCATATATTTAGTTATATCTACTTACTAGAGATAAGAGTAGGAGATAGCTCATTATACATTATATTTAATGTCATCTCTAAATTACATGGAAAACTTAAGATAAAATTACCTTACCAACCATTATACAATATATTAGGGAGCACTAATTCT